CTCACTAATAACCCCTTCTGGCAGGGACATGTATATTTCTTCTTTGAGATAACCATGTAAAAAGGCTGTTTTAACATCAAGCTGATGAGAACAGAATCCGTTTTTGACACCGACAGCTAAAACAATTCGACTTCGCCATGGGAGAATAGGTCTCATTATAGTCGATTCCTTCCTTTTGTAGGAAACCCTTCACCACCAGTCTTGCTTTATGACGCACCAAATTCCCATTTTCGTTCGAAAAATCCGTTTTGATGATAACAACTTTGCACCTTTAGGAGGAATTACTATTTCCCATACATTATTGTCCTGCATCGATTTTGTCTCTTCGTTAATTGCAATAAACCACTCATCTTTGTCCGGCCTTCAATAAATATCCTTAAAATTTTCAGAAACATCTAGGGGAAAATTTGATGCAGTATCGGCAGTACAACTGGTGAAGAAATCAAGAAGCTTACCGGGAAGGTTACGCCTTCTTTGGCCACGGCGTAGTGCAGGTTCAAATTCTTGATTAGCAACCGGTAGCTCATTACCAATACTATCCGCAAAGCAATCCTCGTCTTCTTCACTTCCGTTACTATTCTTATCATCCGGCGCATTGACATCGTTATCATGATTTCGATTTTCTTTCTCACTTTCGCTCACGACAACACCACTTCGTGAGTTGCTCGTGAGTTCTAATAATTGAAACAGGATCTTCCGCAGGAACTAGCTTTTTAAACGGAAAACAATTTTCGTCGTGCGTGCTAGATTGCTACGTAGCAACTTTACACCTAAAATGCTACGGAAAGTGAGTACCGCTATCATTCTTTTTACCATAAAACAACTCAGCGGGTGTAACGACTTAGCTTATTGACATCAACTTCAAATTCATATAAATTTCCATTCAGATTCACTGTTGCAATTACATGACCATCCGTTTTAATATCAGCAACATTTTTCCCGAACTTGACTTTAAGACCGGCGTTTGTCAGTTTTTGTACGGACAACAGATTATCACGTAGCTCAGGTATATACAAAACTTGTATTAACGTAATGGGAATACCTTTGTTACTATTACGACGCATTTCTCCACAGTTCCTGGCTGCTATCGTCTCGTTGTCCTTTGTCACGTTTATTATTGTTGGTGGATTTATGCTATGAATCTTGTCAAAAAATAAATTATTATTTACCAAATAATCGCTAGCCCCAGAATCTAACCTATAAATTAGCATTGATTCGTGTTTCTTTTTGAAACCATTTTCAACCATAAAGCAAACATTTTGTCTACCCCTTCTGCCTTTTGAATCTGCAGACTGGGCTTTTCCCTGTCGACAATCTTTGGCTTTGTGTCCGAACTTCTGACAGCGATGGCATTTTCCTTTGAACTTTATATTTCTCTTGAAATTCTTTTGATTATAAAACGCAGTCTTTACACGGCATTCTCCAATACCCCTGTCATTTAGTTTTGTCTCTTCTGCGATTACACGTACCTTCGCAATATTATAATCTAGTTTACCATCTAGATTTTGAAGAGCAGTAACAAGAGGGTCAAATTTCTCCGGGTAAGGTAAGAAACAATTTAGCTAAAACATCGTTTTCTTCCATCACAGCTCCAGATATTTTGAGATTTCGAACCAATCCTTCAAGCGGAGTCACCGACTCATCCTCTCGCATACGTAGCGTTGTGAGCTGCTTACGTACCAAGAGCTGACTTCTTTGCAAACGATTCATGGAGACATCTTCACATTGCTTTTGCTGATTTCTTTTCCCTGATATAACTCAGACAATCATAGTAGACAAACGCAACCAGGTGCTCCATGGCTTTTTTATCCTTTCTAAGGAATTCAGCTTTAGCCTCCTCTCCAAATGGTGGATCGCCCGTTAAAACCTCCCCCAAATTAAGTGAATCCAGATGAATTTTGACTCGGAACTGCCAATCGTCAAATTCAGCTCCTCGGAATTGAAGAATTCCAATATAATATAACCAATGGGAAAAGTTTTATTTGATGTTAGCAGTTTAAAGTTTCGAATTGAAGTGAAGAAAACTTCATAAAGTGAAACAAAATTCTATTACATAAGGACAACGATTGCTTGTTTTTACAAACACATAAAAGGTTGAACAAAAGCAAAGTAAAACTCAACAGAATTATACGACAAAAACATTATCACATTCATTTAATTAGATGAGATTAACTGCCTTTTTTATTTTGTTTGTAATTTAAATATGAAAGTCTAAGTTTTTATCCATGTAAAAATCACACAATGAATATTGTAAATCATGAAATCAATTCGGACTTCCGCTAATATATAATCGACACGCGTGTGCATATGTTAATACATTCATTTACCTATTTGCTTTTTATTTTTGTTATTCAGAACTATTCCTTTCTTCAATATCATTTGTATTCGTAGCCTCTAAGTCTACACCACCAGCTTCATTCGACATCGAAATATCTGGCTCATTGCCTGCGTTCCCAGGTTGCTGGGGGGTATTATTGCTCTCTTCGGGATTAAGAATACGTTCACGGTTCCGCAACGAGTGAATGCATGCCAGTAGTCGAATCATGAACGCCGCTGGTACAGTGATGGTATCCTTAGTTTGCTCAAGCATTATTGCATTGCGTTTCATGAGCTAAATACCGAACAATTTTGCATTAGCGTATGTCATGTATTTTCGATTTTCAAAATATTCGTAATTGTGTGTTTACTTACATCTTCAGCCACCTCTTCGTCAAAGTTGGCATGCTCCAAAATGGGCGCCCATATTTTAACATCATAGTCAATCCCTGAGCTGGCTAAATAAGGTAGCTCAGGATGGGGTTGTAAACAGTTTACGACATGTTGATCACCTTGCATTAGCATTACAAGTTTTCCAGTACGACGGTCCCATGTGAAAATGTGCCCACAATCGGACCCCGACATCACATAATTGTGACCCCAAAAGTTAGCCTCCTTGATCATCGTGCGCGCATTTCTATGCCCAATATATTTCATACGCAGATAGTCGAAAACAACTTCCTTAGCTTGCATATCTAGTTCTGCAAGCTCTTCATTCAGAGTATCGGCTTCATCGTCACGAAACTGAATACTTTGTGGGCTTTCACTGCTATCGTTAGCAGTATCAGCAGTATCAGCAGTAAGCGTTCCCGTCGATTCTGAGGGTGCTCCAGTAGTATTTTCATCTACCGCCATATTGCTGTCAGCGGCTACATTAGATGCACTCACAGTTTGAGTCGGAATAACATCAGATTGTGGAGCGTTGACGGTTATCGTGCGTGAGGTGTGCAAACGACTGGCAACTCTTCGCCAATAGGCACCAGATGTTGACGGGGTTGAGTCTATGGAATAAACAAAAATATGTACATATACTGCACTTAAAGAATTATAGCATTTTATCACCGTTTACCTTCCGCTGTCTCTCTCGCCACTGCAGCTAAAAGTGATGCTTGATTCTCACGGTTCAGCTCTTGGGCTTGGCCTGATAAGCCCATGCGCGTTCGTGGATCATTTAGCATGCGAGAGATAACTTCTGTCATGCGACTCATAATGTTTGCTTGTAACTGTGGGCGCACCTGTCCTATCTCGACACGCCCCCGTGGATAGTTTTCCGGCCGCGCATCCGGTCCAGTGTCGGACCAATCGCCACGCAAACGCAATCTCCTCGTCACTTGTTCGGCTGTTAATGCAGGCGGAGGTGATGAACTACTCGCATCGGTCGCGCAACCCTTCTCGTATAGCGTGCTTACGTCAACGCCATCTCGACGTAGGTCAAACAGATACAAATACTCCGAAGAGTAGCTCACAAGCAGTTCAGACTCTTCCGGGCTATATTTAACGCAAGTGATGCGATATTGTCGATTCGTAGTCATCGGAATAGGGTAGGCTTTAATTGGCCGCGTATGCCTCTCAGTAGTGGGTATGGAACTGTCGCTAAAATCGATCACCGACAAATAACGACGATCATAGACACGCACAATTGCATCGGAACTACCCACAGCCACATAGTAGTTGCTGATAGGCGAGAGATCCATGGCATTCACTGCCGACGGACTAAATATAAGTATGTTATCCTTACAACAAGTCTTATGACAGCTCGATGTTTGCCGCAAATCAAATAGTCGTACTGTACCGTCCTCTCCACAGCTCATGAACGATCGCGGTTCCGAAGGTATGGTCAATACCTCGTATGTTGTACCACTTTTATGGCAATTAAAAAAGCTCAATTTAGCCTCATTCTCGTTATGCTCATAGATAGGTAGCATCGGATCTACATTCCTAGTGGAAGTGATTGCACTGTTGATATTGTTACTTGGAGTTGTTTTCTGTCGGCGGATATATGGTGCCAATAACTCAGTATGCAATACAATGCCATCGCCGGAACAAGAAACAATCGAATGACCATCCGTTCGTGGCATAAATCGCGCACTAAAAATATTCGCTCGATGTGCAGTTTTATACTTCAGCAACACTTCTTGATTATGCGGGTTCGTTATGGCTACACACTGATCGTCACTTCCCGATAACAAGAACTCGCCTGTATTATTCCAGCACACAGTATTTACACAACCAGAATGCACATGCAAGCGACTCATCAATCCCAGGCGTTGCACATAATCAAGTGAATCTGTAAGAATGGTATGAATATGTATGAGAGAATAGTTATTAAAAACGTTTTTGTGTAAGTTTTACCTTTAGTGCTGGCTATGTAGTTGAGTGTCACAGATCGCGGTGAGTGCAAACTTTGGTTAAATACACTTCTGAACACGCTCTCCTTGTTTAAACGATCGCGCGACATTCTTTACAGATTCAATGTAGTAAGCGTGCCTAGGGTTTTAACTATGGTCCATCCACGTAAAGCAGGAGGTGCAGAATCTGTTGAATACAAGAGCAAACGATGTCACTGAGGTAAATTGAGAATTGTTATGTACATATTTGAAAATTAGAGGAAAACTGCCGCATTTTGGCGGCTCGGAGCAACGTCACGATTAAATAAGTCAATAAAGTAAAAAAAAAGTGCGTATGTGAAATGTAAAAACCATTCCGAAGGGAATTTGAAGTGTTTACTTTACATAGGACATTACTCACAACAAATTAATAAGTGATATTTAAGTACTACATCAATTCTTATTACAAGGACCAACAGTAATAACAGATATTTCGACCCGTTGAATCCGAATTTTCAGCCCGTTTGAATCGTACGCCCTCAAAATTTCGAGTAAATTGCGAAAAAAATGGCAAAAAATTCGCCACTCGCCATTTCTTTATGGAGAATATAGAATAAACATTTTTGGAGAATTTGTTTTTGGAAAAATTTGTTTAAGGCTTTTTTATTAATCATTACTTTCAAAAGTACCTGGTATTTACATTTGTTATTTGTGATGTATGCGTTCTTCAATCACATGGTTTTTTAAATACAATTTTAAAAATGTATTACTTATTAATAAAAAGGTGAATTTTACAAACATTTTGGCGTAACTTTTAAAGTTTTATTTCATGGTATGTTTAAATGCTTTCAGTTATAAATTTGTAGTCATATTCATAAAAGTTATGTTTCACTGTGAATCTCGGGATAAATACCGGGATACCGGGTTTACTTAAAAAATAACCCGAAATACCGAAAATATCACAATTTCCGCATATTTTGACATTCCTTATAGGTACATACATGCATGAACAATATAGATCACCAGGTCGCAGTGCACATCGCATTTTAATATCTATCTATCTATCTACATATGTATGTACATACAGAAATAGGTACATTCATATGTATATGTATGTATGTACACCCAGAAGCTATTTTGTCAAGGCTTTCCCTTCATAAGGTATTACAGAAGAGAAGGGTCTCCGTAAATGCTTTTACTCCTTATTATTTTTTTCAACTGGGCATACATACACCTGTATTCATACGGAATAGTAGCTTACGTTGAAAGGCTGGCTTTACTATAAAGCGACATTCCCTTTATTCTTTAAACGACAAGGAATTTTTTATGGGACTTAATGAGTATATTGACTTGATGGTATCGGAACTATATCTTGCACTTTTATTTACCAACATTTCTTCAACGGCTCGGCGCCAGTAAGTCATTCGCATTTGTGTGCAGCGAATGCAGCATTATACTAAAGCCAGCCTTTCGACATGAGCTATTATTCTATATGAACACAGCTATATACATACATACTATGTGCATACAGGCATGGCATAAGCAGCCAGGGCACCAAATCCAACTATAAAATTAAAACAAACAATTCTAATCACTTTGAAAACGGTTTGCCTGGGCAACAATTGGCATTGGCATTGGTCAGTAGAGGTAAAATATATGCATATATGTATGTACAATATGTAATGAATTGCATGTGTTGTACATACATATGTATGTACATATTTATGTTTGTATGAAGGTAAATTAATATAACATATAGCTTCCCCTTGTTGCAACTCTCATAGGCATAAAATAATAGTTTGGCCACCATACATTTAAATACAAATGAAATAATCAATATCAGGCAAAGTTTATACATATTCTTATGCATAACTTGTTTTTAAATCTGCCCGTTTCTATTCAGAAAAACGTAAATTTGCTAAGTCAAAGGAAAGCAAGAAAATCCAATAAATTCAAAATACAAAAACGGGGAATTTTATCTGTTACGCAAAAAAAGTTGCCTTGTTTTAAGTTTTTCAAAATACGCGAAGAAATTGTGTTACGGAGCTTTTTATTCTTCCCTAGAAATTTGAAAAAACTGGCACATTTTCACTCCAAGCCTATGGTATGCAAATCAAAAAAAGTTGTTTCGCTTATAGGATACCCGGGCGGATGAACTAGGTGCACAAACATACATACAAATGCGAGAAACGACAAAATAGCGTCTATAATATTGTAAACCGTTCTAGGTTAATTATAATTAACTTTTGGCGTATTTAAATGACAGGCTACCTACGTCTGAATGCATCTGTACATCTACATATATCTATGGAACAAAAGATTTACTAACTTTGAATATCTCAATATATGTATATATGTTATTACTCATATACGTATCGCTAGCTTAGAGTGAAAACTTTCTAAATCCACATTTAAAAATTTTACAGTAGGAAAAAAACTTACATACATATACATATATATGTATTTATATGTACCTATCCATTTTCTTCTGGTATTTGCTTTTACATATTTGAATATAAACGGGAAGATATGAAACCTTAATTCTTTTGGAAATTACGGATTTTTGTTGTCTCTTGCCTCCTGTGTGTATTAAAAGATGAGTTTTCTCAAAAAAAGGATTTAGCAACTTTTCACTCTAAGCAAAAAAATGCAAAATTCCTCATGGGTTATATGTATTTACAAAATTGAAATTTGGTGCAAATAGACGTACTCAATATGTACATACATATGGATGCATGTTCGTATAGAATAGTACCTTATGACGAAAGGCTGGCTTTAGTATAATGCTGCATTCCTTTTATTCTTTAATCGATAAGGAATTTTTTGAAGAGACTTAATAGGAATATTGACTTGCTAATATCGGAACTATTTTTACGTTTATTTGCCAAAAGTTCTTCAACGGCTCGGCACCAGCGAGTCGTTCGCAATCGTATGCTGCATTATACTAAAGCCAGCTTTTCGACATAAGGTGCTATTCCGTACGAACACAGATATATGTATATATTAATGCCAAGAAGACGCCTATGACCGTCAAAGAATAATGGGCAAATTTCCTATTATTTTTCATATTTGCATATAAACCTCACAGTTCGAAAAATTTAGAAGCTCTTCGAACGTACCTTAAAATCTCATTTTCCTTAATATCCGAGATCTATGGTCGTCTATTAAACACCTTTGCAATTTATTTTGAAGTTTTATGTACACATTTGTATAAATTTGTTTCTCAGCACCACAAATTGTCAAATTATTTTTTCACTTATCCACTTGCTCGACTTCCGTAGTGATTCTTGACAATTCCATCCGACCCGTCCACTTCCACACTTCACATTTGCCAATGAACGTATTCTTTGTGTTTGCTTTGTATAATAATTATTCTGTTTTCTTCTTTGCGCTGTTGTTTATATTTTTGTTTACTTTTCAATTCTATCTTTCCATGCCCATTGTTGTTTTGCTAACGTCATTTGGCTCTTTCAAAACGTTAAATGAAAATAGTAGGTGTGTATAATAACAAATAGTCAATACTAGTTTGTACTGGAACATGCAAATTTTGACTCGTAAAGTGAATAATAACCCAAAAAATTTGCAAGGGAGCACTGACTCGAGAGCGTAATTACAGGAAAGAATACACGAGAGAATAATTGGAGACGGAGAAGAGAAAAAAATGTTAACAGTCAAATCATGGAGGTCGCCATATTATTTTTTTTCCCCCATTAGTTGCTTTCCAGATGCTTCACGATTTTCAGGAACAGCTGCTTTCTCCATTAATAAACTTTACGGAAGGTGGTCACCTGGAACGGGTTCCTGTAAAAACCTGCAAATCGTGAAGCATCTGGAACGCAACTATTGAGTGAACGCGTGAAATAAAATTATATTTTACTTAAGTATATAAATAGTACACAAATAAATCCAAATGGTAATTTTGCTTGGTAAGGAACATCTGGCAGTCTTTTATTTTATTGTTTATATTTACAAATATATGAGTGTCATTAAAACCTTGA